AAATATGGTGCCCTTCCAGCAGCTCGTGAAAGGGCAAACCAGCGAAAGGAGAACCCCAGAAGATCAGTACGAGCTCTTCCTTGCCGATACCCGCACCGTACGAACTCCCGTTACGACGGCGACGAAACGGGTCTAAAGGGTCTGCCGATTGGCTGCCAAAGCAAGGGTAGAATCCCTGGGTATGAGAAAACCAACAAATTTCTTAACAGATCCAGGGGAAAACAAAGGAAGGGGCTTACCTTTCTAAATTTCCCGGAGGGTGGCCTGAGATACGCTAAGAAGAGAAGGAATCGGGGGTTCCGAGAAGGGGAGCGCGCACAACGAGGCTCTTTCCGGCGGCGGCGAGCGGGTTTCCTTGTACGGAGAAGGAGGGCGGAGTCGAGCTCGGCTCGATTTTCTCTTCCAGCGGTCGAAGATGGATGGATTTTGGCTGATTCTACTTTTGCTCGTTGTGGGTTTGTGGGAGAACGAAGAGACAAGTGAGGAAGGAGGTTTTGTGTCTGATGCGTGGAAAGAGAAAAGGAAAGGAAGGAAGAAAACCAAAAAGTTGGGTCTGGTGTGCGGAACGAGAAACAAAAAAAAATAATAAAAAGGAGGAAGAAGGCAGTTGGTATTGGGAAACCGCAAGCAACCGTTCCATCATGGCACGCCGTCATTTTGCACGCGGGAAGAAGAGAGGTGCCCTATAATTACAAATCTGATTTTTTGGGTTGAGTTTTAATTATCAGGCCCATTCCAGCACCTGTCCATGGCCCTTATAATTAAGGGGGCTAATGTTGAGGCCCAAAAAATTCATGGTTAGGCCCGAATGAATTCATGGCCCAAAAGCTATATATTATTGAGAAAAGACTTAATTTGGAGCACGCGAAAATCTGCCATGCACGAATTATACTTTGCATGCCATGCCAAATAAAAATCCATCATGCTAGAAAATAAGATTAAAAGCATAAAATGCATTTAGCTCTGCAAGTCCGTGCTAATTATTTTATCAAGCGTCAGTATGACAAGCAACATGCCGTGCCAAGTGGGAAATCGTTATTTCACACCCAATTACACTGCAAGCTTAAGTGGGCCCAAGCCACTCAAATGCCCGGGGCTTGCTTGAGTGGGTTGTGGTATGGATGGTGACAAGTTATCACGGGGCCCATCGATGGGCCAAGAAATGGAAGTCTCGGGTCGCTTGGGGGCCTCGAGACTCAAGCCCATTTTCTTAGGCCCAAACATGGGTAAGCACAAGGAAGGAGATGGATCATTGCCTCAACCAAAGTAAGCCCATTAGAATAAACTAGCCAAATAAGTCTATTGACCCAATTAGCATAGCCCAACCAAGATAAGCCCATTGCCCCAATTAAAATAAGCCAACACTTGATCAAAATATCCCATCCGTTGGATGAATCATGTGGTGGACTTAAAAGACTTATGAAATTAGAATAAGAGGGTAGCATCAGACCTAGCACTCAGTTTGAAAAGCAAAACCAACGTTGGAAATCTACACATAGGTAGCTGCTGGGAACTAGTTCCAAGTATAGGAATTCAAGAAACCAAGGGATTTTGGCATGCAAGGGAGGATGCTACCCCTTAAACCAACGGGTACAATCACTTTCTTTCCTTCATCAGACTGGGCCATGGAAAGAGGAAGAAAGAGGAGAAAGAAGATGGGTGAAAAGGGGAAGCTCCCTTATGAGGTCGCCGCTGGAAGAGGCTTAGAGCACCCAAAACATCTGATTTTGTGGGATTGGGCAGAACTGACCTTGCCACTATGAGGTAAGTCAAGAAGGAAGAGGAGAAAGGAAGAAGAAAGCCTAGCTAAGTTAGGAAGAAACCATTAGGGTTTCTTGAAGAAGAGCAAACCCCAGCAACTATAAATAGGGCCTCTTCCACCCAGCCAAACAACAACAATCGACAGCCTTTAGAGAGCAAGCTTTCTCTCTTGAAAACCCACCACCTTCAGAGAGCAAGCTTTCTCTCTTGCAAACCCAGCAAATTTTCGTGCTTTGCTAGCCCATTTCCCCCATCTCCCCTGCTTTGGCAAAATTGCTACAGCTCTGACAGAGTCACTGTCGAGCTGCCGGAAGCTACGAAA